TCAGAGAGAAACTCTGATTTCTCTTCTAAGTCTACAAACTGTGTCACCCCCGGAGCCGGGCTCAGCCTGCAGGTTTGGACCAGCTGAAAATTTGGGGTTTTTCATCAGTGGGAGAGAAGCGGTACCCCAAATACACACCACAAGGCTCATAGAGAAACTCTGATTTCTCTTCTAAGTCTACAAACTATCAGTTGTGATTTCCTAAAAATTGGGCAGACCAGCCTTTTGTTACCACTGAGACTGTCCACGCGAAGGACTCAAAATTAAACTTTTTTAAAAATTTTTTTCAGAGCTTTAACATAGACTCTGTTTCTCTTCAAACTTGTGAAATTCCCTCCTTGCTCCTGGAGCCGCAGATCCCTTGCCCAAGCAACCAGCTTTGCTGTTGTGGTGGTAGATAACAAACACACACTTATTTGTTCACTATTTTCTTTTCTTTTATTTTTTTAGACAAACATGGCACCACGTCTTCTATTATCATGCTATATAAAATAGCATCCTGGTTTATAGGGGTTTACAGACTTCCTGTTTTTACCAACGTGCAGATGCTGTACTGTTTGAACTTCATGATTTTTTTTATTTTTTTTTTCAAAACTGTTTCCATTTCTGCCCCAGCAAATCCACTGACTTGCTCAGACCTGTGTAACAAACCACCTATTAGTTGAAATAAATGCTTTATGCAGAGGAATAGCTTTCTCTGGGAGTAGCAGTCCCCTTTTATCGATGTTATAAAAATCCTTGAGTGTAGTTTTTAAAACATGAAAAGCATTTCCTGGACAACATCTTTCCCGCACAAAGCAGAACTGTGTTTCCCAGACCTACTGGAGACCTGGCAAAACAGGGTCTCTCAGTGCTCTTCAAAAATTGCCTACTTCTCATTTGTAGTAACCTTTGCATTGTGTGATTAATGGGGATGCTGCTGCACGTGCTTCTTTCAAGTCAATCTATGGAAATCCTCTATTTTGATGGAAATAAAGAAGTATTCATGCTTCTCAACATTAAATCCATCGCATTGCTGTCCGAAACGGAAACATTTTTTCCATAGACAAGTTCAGATCAATATTTGGCCTTAATTTTGTGTTTTAAAAAGATAAATACTTCATTTCTTATCTCACCAACGTAGGGATGAGTTACATCGTGAATGTTTTGATACAGGGGAGCCAATAGCTCAGTGTAAGACTGTTAAAAAGTCTATCATCTGTAAGATTCAAATTCACCTGAAGTCGTTCCATCACTCTTTGATGGCACATTAAATGTTCCCTTTTGCATGGAGGCAAGTAAGATTTCAGCATCAGCTGCTCTGACTGGGGTTTAGATACTGGCCAGAAGATGCTCTTAAGAGTTTAATGTTTTAGTGTCGTTTTGCAGGTTGCCTTAGCTAATAAATGATTTCACTATGTAGATGAGCTACAATCTTTTAAGAGGTAGAGAATTGGTTACGTGCGTGTGCTCTTTGCCCACTTCCCCATACAAATCAGACACTGATTTTATACACAGCCTGGGCTTTGGCATCATAGAATTGTCTGGGTTGGAAGGGACCTTTAAGATCATCGAGTCCAACCATCAACCCAACTCTGATAAATTCCATCACTAACCCATGTCTCTAAGCTCTATGTCAACCCGGCTTGTAAATCCCTCCAGGGATGGGGCCTCAACCCCTTCCCTGGGCAGCCCATTCCAAGGCTTAAGAAGCCTTTCAGTGTCAAAATTCTTCCTCCCCTGGGCTCTGAACCTCCCCTGGGGCAACTTGAGGCCATTTCCTCTTGTCCCATCACCTGTTCCTTGGGAGAAGAGACCGACCCCCCCTGGCTACACCCTCCTTTCAGGGAGTTGTAGAGAGCGAGAAGGTCTCCCCTCAGCCTCCTTTTCTCCAGGCTGAACACCCCCAGCTCTCTCAGCCTCTCTTCATGAGATTTATTCTCCAGACCCCTCACCAGCTCCGTTGCCCTTCTCTGGACTCACATCAAACACCTGTAGCCCACGATTGCCTCGTAACCATTGATCCTTATTTTCAAGTGATGTGCAAATTCTCATTCATCGACATATTCCTTGATTGACTTGATTTCTTGTCATGAGCCCTCGGTTATAAACTGCTTTCATAGCTGTTTTGCTTCTTGCCCAAAGGAACTCTGCCAAGACAAGCTCTTCTTCATCCTCCTGGTATCTGGCCAAACCCAAACTGCACTGTAGTGGAAAACTTGTATCCCAGCTCTTCCCGGCGTGTTTTGGGTGGTAGGAGCTCCGGGGATGTGCCAGTCCAGAATTTGTAATATTTAGTTGTGCAAAGTTCTCGTCTTTGTCTGCCAGGTAACTCCTAGGCTGTGCTTAATATCAAACACGATGAAAGCATCAGAATAAATTGGAGACGCTCCAGTAAGGTAAAAGGTTAAACATTCAAATGTAAAGTTGGAAACAACTTTAAAAAAAAAAAAAAAGAAAAAAGGGGGTAAAAAAATAAAGTTGTGCTCTTGGTTACCTGGAACTTTAACTTGATTCACAACTGGTTTTTCACATTTTCCTCCCACAAGGGGTTACTCGGTGCTGAGATAGAGCCGAGCAGTTATTGCCTTTGGCTGATGTGCTTTTCAGAAAGCAACCTTTGCTTTGGTTGTGTTACTTATACCCCTCGCTCCTTGTGCATGCAGTTGGAATTTCAAGGAGTGCTCTCCCTTCTCCGCTGCCACAATGTAGGTATTGTCTCCTTGGGCTTATCTTGGACAGGAGAGATTTGGTGGGTTTTGATTTTGGCTTTTTTCGAGTAACTTTATTTTCACTGCTCTGCTCGCCTTTTTTTTTTTTTTAAGGAGTTTTACTCTAATTAACACCTTTTGCAAATGCATTGGGAGATTTCTGCCCTTTCCCCACTATACTCTGGATGTTTCTGGTAGGACATCCTGGAGTCCATGGTGGAAGTCCCTCTGCTCTAGTGCTTAATACTCTCAGAAAGCTACAGCAGAAGCTTCTGGGCAGAAGCTATTACCTGGTAATGTTTGTGTGACTTTTGTCCTGACTGGGACTTTTTTAGGTGCTGCCCCCCCCTTACAAATAGGTGTATTTTTTCCTCCTTTTTTGCTTCTCATTTTTGGTAGCATTCACTCCCTGCGTGCTGTAGGAGCTGGATGTCTCCCACATCTGTCATCTTAAAGCATTGCGAAAATCTTGTTTGTTATTCAGACATTGATTAATTAGGAACCCAGGATCCTGCATAAAACGTAAGCTTCATTAAGAGATACTCATAAGCAAATGCATGACATAAATTAAAGAAACAGATAGTCCCAATGAGTCCCCTTTAGAGAGAAATACAGATGTGAGACAGTCCATCATTATGCACAGCAGCTGGTCCCAGGATGACACTTCCAAATATAAGCCCTTACCCACCCGAACCAGTGCCATGGATCGAGGATGAGTGTGTAGCCATACTGGATTTTTAAAATCAAGTTTCAATTATTTAGAAATCAGCTTCAAAAATTCTAATTGCTGTTCAGGCACGTCGCAGTGACGTGTGTAAGGACTTTGGGGAGACAGGAGGACTGTAGCGTATCAGGCGCTGCACACCTGATCTGCTGTCGTAAGAGCAGGGATGTGATAACCCCACCTACACATTTACTGGTTTGCATCACTTCCAAAAATTCTAATGGTCAAAAGAAAAAAGCTTTTTATCCCAAGCCAGTGGTCAGATCCAAGCAGACTCTTCAGAAGGGCACATTCTTCTTCTGGGCATGTTCAGAGCTGATCTCATCGCTGCTTCAAATTTCATGCCTTTCTCTTAGTATTAGGAAGGATTGATCTGGACATGTTATTTGCCAAGGAAATAACGTGTGATCCCTAAAAACTGGAAGGAGTGTTGCTGTGTGAAGCAGCAGCCCAGCAGTCAGGAGGTGTGAGTGTGCCAGCGGCAGGTCGCTGAGTGGCAGCATCTCATGCTGCTTTGGTGGTTGGTGGCAGTTGGTGACACAGCACCCAGGAGCCACACAGCTCTTGCTATCCCCTTTCAAACTTCACCTTGTCACTTTTTTCCCTTTTGCAATATCGAGGAATTTAGGATTGTTGCCCTTAAAAGCAAAGGATTATTTTCAGTAGCTCTTGGGCACCTTGTTTTATGCTGTATCCATCACAGCCCAGCTCCTCTGCATTTCCCTCCTTTTATGTCTTTTTTTTTTTTTTCCTTTAGAACTTCATGCCAAGTTCTGCTAAACACCACTTCTGTCCTCAAAACAGAACACGTTAAATTTGTTACATTAAGAATCTTAGCCTCAGAAAGCAATTTTCAATAGGTAGTATGTGTAAGAAATATTTCAACGTGTGTTTTTTATTTCCTTGCATTTGCAAAAAGTCTTGAATTGAACCTGCTGCGTTTTACGCTGCCAGGAGACAGTTCTTAATGCTGGGCAATTCAGTAGATCTCAAAGTGTCATTAAATGGTTTGAACTTTGTTCCATCAGCTTGTTTTGGGGGAAGAGAGGAATGTGTTGGGGAAATCAGTGCAAGTGGATTTGAATTCAGAGCGATTCTAAGATGACTCTTTGTCCAGTTTTTCATTTTTCTTTCTGCTGGCCGTGGTTTGTTCCGCTAACAAGCAAGAATTCAAAGTTAACAGGATATAAAATTGGAAAGAACAGATTCTTACTGGGTTTTCCTTGGCAGAAGCACATCAGTTTGCCCTTCCTAAATGACCTATGATGATCTAGCAAATCTGTCCAAGTTGTATTGTTTGTTGAGAAGCGATTTGAACAGAACCAGGGGCCAGGGATATTTATTCTGAACTTTACTATGGCCAGATCCTTTTGTAACGTTGGACAAGTGACTTAAAATTTATCTGTCTGTTTACTACTTCGTGGTGTGAGGTTGACTCTGGGCTTTTTCTGACTAAATGAAATTACAGTGTATTTGTAAAGATCCTAAAAAGGATTGTCTTTCTATGAGCCAGGGGAAAACAAGCGCCAAAGTGTTATGGTTAATACCCCGGTAACTTACTGAAGTTCTTGTGCATCACAGATGAACAAGAGGCCTTGAAATCCATCATGAAGGACCTGGTAGCTCTCCAGATGGGCCGACGGCACAGGCTGCCTGGATATGATACCATGAAGAATAAAGACACGGCTCACTCCAACAAACAGGTAATGGGCCATTTATTGAGTACTTGCCATGGTTACCTGGAGGCAGAAGGGACAGAGGAGGTGACAGTGGATCTGCTGCCTGCCTCCTGCCTCGTGCTTCCCACTGCTGAAGCATCCCAGGTGGATTAGCTCCCTATTCTTGCTCGCTAACTATTTTATTTACTTAACCTTTATGGGCTAGGGAGGGCACACTTTTGATAATTTGCAACATTCTGCCTTCCTCCCAGATGTGTTTGTGATGGGGTTTGGTCTGTGTAGATTCACTAAAAGGTTTACCAAGTGGTTTTCTAGCTTCAGGATCATATTGCTATTTTTTTTTTAAACTTACTTTTATTATTTTTAAAGAAAAAACACAATGCCAGCAGTCCACCTGTCTTGGGCAGCCCTGCAATAACAAACCAGTGTGCCTCTGCAGTGGAAGAAAAAAAAATTCCGGTAAGAAAACTGGCTTCCCATTCAATATTGGCAATTAGATATTAGGAACATGTTTTCAGGTGGTGTGCAGTGACCTTTACAGAATTCACTTCAGCAGGGGGGAGGCCAGGAAGGCTTTTCTTTGCTGATGCTGTCATGATGTAGCACTATGATGTGCTTTTCGTTGTAGGGGAAATAAACTTTAAATTCAAAAGGAAGCAGGGAACTGAGCGGCATAATGATGAAAAGGAAACAAGTATTTCCATTTCTGCTGCAGTTTAAAGCTGCATAAAGGTGTCTGTGGGATAATTAACTAATGTTGGTCTCATCTTCACGTGATTCAGGCTGCACCTGAATACAGAATTGAGACCCCAATAAAAGGTGGTGAAGCTGAATTTGATCCAAGAAGAGTGGAGGGAATTGTCTAAAAGGCCCAACTTTAGTGAAACTGAAATAACTTTGCTTCAGTGAAAAAGGAAACAGTTATTTACAGGTGTCTGATTGGAGGCAGTGTCCCTATCAGGGAGGATTGTCTGGAGTTCCCCTGTCATCTGTCTCATGAGGAGGGGAATGAAACCAACCCTGATTTGGGTATGGGGATGAGAAGTCCATTTTCCAAAAGAAATTCCTTTCCCAAGCTAATAAGTGGCAGGGTCAATACTTGAAAGTCTCTCTGGGTTGGTTCAACGTTGCTAGAAACTTTTTTTTGTAATACTTGAAAGTCTCTCTGGGTTGGTTCAATGTTGCTAGAGACTCTTTTTTTTGCAGAGAAAATTATTGCATTGACTTTCTGGTAGAAAGAAAGGACAGAGTAATATTGCTCTGTCCGAATATGCTGCGTGTCATTTGAATGAAATACTTCAATGGCAAAGCAACAGTTTCAGTCAAGAATTGTGTGTTCATTGTTGTATTAAAGAATTAAATCAAGTTACTGGCAGTTAGACTAACGTTACCAGAAGTGGCCTATATCAGTAAAATAACTCTTTTCGGTTATATTCCTATTACAGGCTTAAGCTTTTTAGAGCAGGCTTTAAAGTTCATGTCTGTCTCTTCCTTATGCTTTGTCTGCTCATAATCTACTTGTTCAGCTGGGATCTGGGATTTCCTCGAATGTGCTGGACAAATCCGCAGACGGAGGAGTACAAAATGCTTTCCAAATCACTTTGAAACGTAAATTAAGAGATGTCTTAAATTGAAATTGCAATCGTTATTTATGATGCTGCATCGCAGACCTGGAGCGCTGAAGTACTAAACTTGGATTTGCTTTCTCACTCATCTCTCAGGACACTTGATGGCAGTTGCTTCAAAAAGTGGTTTATGTAGGTGATAGGTTCATGCTTTCAAAGGAAACAAGACTAGATATTTAACTCCTCTGGGTTCTCTCTGAAATGTAGCCACTAAGATCACTTTGAGTAGCTTTTCTTAGATCTCTGAAAAATAGACACAAATGGCCAGTGTCTGATCCTTTGGAAAAATGACAGGAGATGGATGCCAAATCCCACCCCCTTCCCTTTATTGCAAATTACATATTGCTACAAGTTGCACATTTAAAAGCTGCAGTGCCATTGAGAAAGATCTCTTGGTTTGCACAGGTACCAGGGAGTTGAAGGGAGGTTTGCAAAGAACTCTGAGGATCTTCTGGCGTTGTCTAATTTTAACTAGTGGGAGTTTTGTCACTCAGCTGTTTCATCACCTAAAACACATCTTGAGGCTAGAAATTTAATCTGAAAAATTACATTAATTCAATTTAATCCAAGCAATTCAGTTTAATCATGTTTAGTTCCCTTAGACTGGGCTACTTAGAATAGTGCAATATTTAAAAAAATAAAATAAAATAAAATAAAATAAAATAAAATAAAATCTAGGGCTTTACTTCCCTGAAAATCCTAATATAAAGGGGTCATTCCTCCAGCCATTATATCTAAGAAACAACTGTTTCAGCAGTAGTTGGCTGGTGGACATCTGTTATAATTGATTATTCCTACGCTGCTTGTTGCTTTTTTCCTCTACTGCTCATTTTAAGGGAGTTATGTAGAACTTGCTTCATTTTGGTGTCGTTCTAGAGTGAGTTCCTTCTCTTCCCCCACCTGAGAAAAGAGCTTGGGTGGGAATGACCCACCTGCAGGTGACGGTGGCTGTAATTGGGGAGCTCATTTGTCAGGCTCAGTTCTGTACCTGGGGTCTGGCTGCAGGAATAGTGTGTGCTCACAGTGATTGCACGGGTCCCTTTGAACTGCATTCTTGACCACTGGGCCTGCCAGATACTTCCTCTAGCTAAAGAGCATTTCCTGGCCACATTTTTTTGAAGTTCCTAGATGTATGATTGCCTATTGTCTTAAGGCTTTCACAGATGGCTTAATCTATTCCAATCGCATAAATTGTGCAGCAGAAATGATGGAGTCTTATCAGAGCAGATTTTTTTCCCCTTTTATTTTTATCTTTGTGACCTAAATTGGGATTTGAACTTTGATCTCTGGAGTTGAGAGTTCAGTGTGTTGACTCTTCCGTGCCACGCGGCGTCTTCGCAGTTTGCAGGGAAACACACAGGTTACATGGTCAGTGCTTTTAACCATCTGGCTGATAGGGATGATGACCCCTTGGCACTTTAAAAGATGGCACAAGGTCAACTTGCTTGGAACTTCGTAGTTGGAGTTTCAGGGGCTGTGTTGGTGCAAAGGCAAGATTTAGTCTGTGCCTTAAGAATCAAAATATAGCACATTCCCTGAATCTCTCTCTTTTTTTGCTATAGAAGAAAACATGCTGACATCAAGAATGCACAAAGAAAATTTAGCACATTCCCTGAATCTCTCTCTTTTTTTTGCTATAGAAGAAAGCATGCTGACATTGAGAATGCACAAAGAAAATGAGCTTCAGTTCAGAAGAATATTGTTTTTTCAATTCAATTTCAGATTTTTGCCATGCAGTGTTAAAGATGGATTGTTCTTTTTAGTTAAAGTATATTCAGCCTGGAGAAAAGGAGGCTGAGGGGAGACCTTCTCGCTCTCTCCAACTCCCTGAAAGGAGGGTGTAGCCAGGGGGGGTCGGTCTCTTCTCCCAAGGAACAGGCCATGGGACAAGAGGAAATGGCCTCAAGTTGCCCCAGGGGAGGTTCAGATTGGAGATTAGGAAAAATTTTGACACTGAAAGGGTTCTTAAGCCTTGGTTGAGGCCCCATCCCTGGAGGGATTTAAAAGAGGGGTTGACCTAGTGCTTAGAGCCATGGTTTAGTGATGGTTTTTATCAGAGTTAGGTTGATGGTTGGACTCGATGATCTTCAAGGTCCCTTCCAACCTTGACAGTTCTATGATTGCATATCTCAGGATCCTCTGTTTAAGTGACAGTTAATAAAAATTGCAATTTAGTTTTTACCCCTTTCCTTCTCTTTCTCCTTTCAATTTCTCTATTCCTCATGGAGCTGGGTTCACTTTCTGTCCACAGTCTGTATCAGCTTCCGTGGAGAAAGCCGTCAGACCTGTGTTCTGGTTAGACTTTTGAGGGGCTGATGCCTCCTGTGATCACAAATCTACCTGCTTCGTGTTTGGGCCTTAAAATCATTATATGATCTGGTTTTGTGTTTTTATGCATGTCAGAGTTTCATTGTGAACTAACCTTTTGTTCTTTCTTGTGCAGAATGATGTAAGGATAAAGTTTGAATATAACGGGGAAAGACGGTAAGTCTGTCTTCACTGCTTTGGTTCTTTGCTCAGTAGAATAATTTAGTCATCAGTAATTTAGGTTAAATGTTTTCTTGGCTTCACTTTCCTGGTTGCTGAATGAAAAACACACAGTAAAGGCAACAGGGAACAGGTCATACACAACTTGGTTATTTTTAAAAATCAGCGTATCATATAACACTTTTCTTTGATTTGTTTTGATAGTATCTATTTGTAAGTGAGTTGCAGCAATATTAAACAAGCTCTCCAGCCTGAAAGAAATTCAACCTGGTAGGAACACATCTGAAATAAGACTATTTGTTTCATTTAACTAAAATCAAATGAAACTGGTCAAATTAGTGTCATTCTTTTCTAGTTTCTCACTTCCTGATGACCTGTCGCTATCCCTGTCCTGCTGTGACTGGGCAACAGATACAGCAAGGGAAGATTTTTTTTCATTGGTCTAAAAGTTTCCTTGTTATTTCCTTTGATATTTAGTTTTGAGATGCTTTCTTTTACAAAAACTCAGCGTTTTTGGTGTTTGCAGTATTGTTTCCAATGGATAAAATTAGCTAAACATTTCAAAGCAGGTCTCAGAAAGCCATCTCACTGAGAGGAACTCTCGATGCTGCTGCAGCTGTTGAGTGGCTCCATGAACCTACAGAAAGGCTCCAAACTTGTTTGCAGCCTCTTAAAGGCTGTTTTTGAGCCCTCACTGAGGGAGAGAAAAAGGGATCTTGATGCAGGTTCCAGTTTCCTTTTTCTGAAGGAATTAATTGAATTGTAAGCACGAATTTATATGCTGCTCCTCACAGACATCCTATGGGAATCCTTTAGTTTCTCCCATCCCAGACAGTACTTTCAACATGAAGTAGTTCATGGTTTCATGATAAAATATGAATTTAGTGTTGATAGTACAACAGAGCAAGTTGTATGTAGTGATACCAATATCTTGTTACTAGCAAAGGTTACTGGCTGAGCTGCTTAAGCTCCTCCTCAGGTTTCCTCCTCTGTCAAATTAAGGGTTTTTTGTTAAAACAGAAAAGCAGAGGCACTCTTTGCTAGGAAAGCAGAGAATAATTTGTAAAGACTTCCTCAAAAATCAGACTGTTTCATTCCCCAAAGTAATACGTGGTGAATTCTGTCACTAAAAAAAAATCTGACTTTTGGGGCCTTGAGGAGAAAAATAGAAAAGTAATGGTAGCTGGGATCTGCTGCCACCTTTATCAGCCAGATCTCAGCACTCTGCTGTATCACAGGCATCGTGTGATGTGTGAGATATCACAATTGCTTGTGATACCGTGGTAGGACAAGGTAACTCAAAAGCAAAATCTTGTCACCTCAGCCCTATCATCTTGCCCGTCTTCTGCCCCGGGGCATTCAAGATGGCACAGAGCTCAGGGGAGAAGAAAGGGTTGGGTTTTTTTTTTTTTCTGCAGGAGCATTAAAATGAAAAGGTTGATTGTGTGTTAGTCTAATTATGCAGTTACGCTCGCCTGAATTCCCCATTCCCAAAGTGGTATGCAGTTACAGACAGCAGGCTCGCACCGAGAATGTAAGTGTGTGTGCTTGGTTTCAGAGGAGCTGCCAGATCTAACCACAAATATTTAAGGTGGTCAGGCAGGAATGGGCTCCTTAAACCCTGCAGTCCGTGATTTTGTGTTAGAAGAGGGCGCAGAGTTTTTTAAACTAATAGAATTTGTGGCACCTGAGAACAGCTCTGCTTTTTAATGCATTGAGTGTAGAATGGAAGCCTTTATAAGGGACTTCGGCTCGACTGAGAGCTAAATTACGTTTGTACGGTGCCAGAGTGCTATAATTTCATGGATGGGTTTCTTAGTAATATGTAGAAAATGTTATTGTGGGCTGCTTTTTAACAAGGACAATTATTTCTAAATAGCTGAACGTTGTAGGTCTGGGAGCAAGATGAACCCTTCCTGGGAAGGGGCTAAGGAAGCCAACTAACACTAGAGCTATTTAAAACAAAAGCTGCTTATCGTGCAAGGATGCTGAGTGCTGGCAGAGCAGCTGGATGGACATTTTGGAAACTAACTCTTCTATCTAAAGCACAGATTCAGCACGAAGTCTTGTGAGCTTCCCCGGAGGGTTTCGGTGAGCTCAGAGAGTTGTCCCAGTGAGCAAGAAGAAGTTTCTGTAGATAATCAAAATTTTTCTGGTAGCATTTCAGCTCTGGCAAAGCAGAGTTGTTCTGAGTTGCAGGGGTGGGGGATGCAGATATCCAAGGAGTCCCGGAGCTTGCCAAAGGCTGTGGCCCCAAGCAGTGAGTTTAACTTGTTGGTAGTGGAAATGCAGTGTAGTCTCGTTGCCCGTGGAAGCAGATGGTGAGAAGTCTGGTTGCAGGAGCCCCAAGGCAGGAAGAACCGACCATCTGGGCCTTGTGCTGCAGAGAGAGATGAAAAGCAGGTTTCTGAGCAGGAGATGTCCTTCGTGTGCTAGAACAGCAGGTTGGAAAGTATAGTTCACACTCGAGTCCTCCAGGTCTTGACTCAAGATATTTTACTCGCTGACTCTTCTGAAGAGGGTGAAAATTGTCCTTTTCCACAGCTGTCGAGGTAGCGACTTTCTGAGTATTTGGCATCTTCATACAAAAGAACATTCCAGCAAAATAAACAGTTTTCGATGCTTTGCTGGAGCTTCATGTTAGTACTTTGCCTAAAGCATTAGAGTTTCTATTCCAAGGTAGGCAAAACGGTAATAAAAACCCAACAAGGAAAAGTATACTGTCGTTTTCTGAAGAGCATGTGTGTGCCCCAGGATTGCGCAGGGTGGCCCTGGGACGGCTGTGCCTGTTGCCATTTTGGATTTCTTGAGGCTGCTTGTGTCTGAGAGTCTAAAACTCCTGCCATTCAGCTGGTGAGGAGACAGCTGAGGGCTGGAAGTGGGAGATCAGTGTGTCAGAAGGTCTGGGCTAAGGAAAGGGATCAGAATAATTTACATTTGTGCATATTTCGTGTGTCAGTCAGTCCATGAAGGTGCCCAGAGACGCGTTACGTATGAAGAATACACAAGGGAGGAAGCATGAGACTATGAGACATGAATATTCTGCTTAGATATCTGTCTTACAGGAATATTTGGAATTATTGCAAGTCAGCTGTGCTATATCTATTAGGTGTCTGTAATTAAAAAAAAAAAAAAGGCAGTTTTTTTAAAATAAAGCAAGCTGAGATTGACAAACAGTTGCCCGGTTCCAGTCGGATTTGCCTTCAGCTCTTGAAAAAAACCCTGCTGTGTTGTGCAGGATTTGAGGGATAATGGCAGAGCCTGTAGTTACTGGGATTCGGGTGTTTGGGGATGTTTGAGCTGGGCACGCAGAGGGCTAACGTGGAGCTAAGGCCACTGGCCACTCTTGGGAGAGAGGGTTTTCAGATTCCTTTGTGTCCCACTGGTGCCTTCCTGCAGGAGCCAGGACTAACTTTGCTCTGGGAATGCTTGTTGAAACCTTTCAACTGGAACGCCTTTTGGAAATTTTTAGGGAGTGAGTTGCGAGCATGGCAACTGGAGAACTTAAACTAAATCCTTTTTTGTTCTTTGGGCCTTCTGCAGCTTTTAATTCAACTCTCACTGAATGTATTTGTTTGTGTTTTGTGCCCGAGGCAGTATTCTTTACGCCAAAGTGCATAAGAGATTTGTATCCTGTAATGTGAAAGAAATTTATTCAGTAAAGGATACTTTTCTATCCAGGGACAAAGGAATTCTATTTGAAATCTTCAGTTGAACATTGCATTCTGACAAAATATTTGGAAATGGACGAGAGATGAAGAATTCCTTGCTAAAATACTTAATATCAGTTCAAATTAGAAAGGTTCGCTACCTACTTGAGGATGACAAGAGAACATTCAAATGTGTTTTTGATGGTTCAGGCATCTAATTTGATTGCGTTGTCAAGTATGTCTCTGAAATCAATCAGCGATTCTCTTTTGTTCCAGAATTATCCCATTTGTCCGTCCCGTGCGCTATGAAGACGTGCAACAGAAAGTGAAAACAGCCTTTGGGCAGCCCCTGGACCTCCACTACATGAACAACGAGGTACGGAGCCACGTTACCAGTGCTCAGAACCAGTAATGCTCTCTCTGAGTGACACCTCCTCTTCCCATCCCAAATTCTCTACCCTTACGTTTAATTTTCAGTCCTTCCCTTTAATACAGACCACAGCTCAGTCTCTCTGCTCCAGGGAAAACGTGCTGATAGTGACAAAACATCACACAGTGTTGTGTGAACATCAGCATCTTGCTTCCTTGCTCACTGGTGGGTTTTGGGAGACTGTCCTGGGGAAATAAGAAAAAGTATTTCAAGTATTATGACTGTTGACTGTTCAAGATACGACTGGACTGTAGAACAGAGAGCCTCTGAACATAATTCCATGGGATCTTGCTACCAAATTTAAAATTCTTCTTTGATTCCCTCTTTCAAAGTCTTAATCTACTTTGTACTATCTGAAACCAATTTTCACTTGCTTGTTAAGTCTGGATTGGTAAGTATTCTGAGCCAATGTTCTCATCAGGGAGTCAGGGGCCCATGTCTGACTTGTTCTTTGCAAACAACAAGCTCAGGTAGCAATTAATGGTTTTGTGGATGGTGTCTTGGGAGAAATTTGCATAAGGGCAGCCATTTCTCTGATGGCGTGGGAGGAAAACCTTGTAAAAAAGGACAGTAAAACAGTATTGTAAGGAAAATTTGTGGAATAATTGAACAATCAGAATCCTATCTTCTGATTTTTTTTCCTAACATTTGCTTCAATACCTATTGTGGAATTAGACTTATTTTTTCTGCCTTTTCTAATAACAATCAGAATCCTATCTTCTGATTTTTTTTTCCTAATGTTTCTTTCAATACTTATTGTGGAACTAGACTTATATTTTTCTGTCTTTTCTAATGTTTTTTTTTTTCTCCTGTTCTTTATTTTGCAGCTCTCTATTCCTTTGAAAAATCAAGATGACCTGGATAAAGCAGTAGATCTCTTAGACCGAAGCTCTAATGTGAAAAGCCTTAGAATATTGTTGCTGTCTCAGGACAGAAACCATGTAGGTAACAATTTCTGTCCCTGCAGGAAAATGATGGTTTTTACCCTTAAGTCTCTGAAATTTGATGGTTGCCTTATCTGAGAGTACAGGGATTAGTAAAATTACTCTTCACAGACACGAATGCGTATGTTTATCCTCTTTGCTTTGGCTTAGTTATAGATATGTCTTTTTTTTCTTTTTTTTTTTTTTTCTGGCTTCAGCAGCTGTTCAAGGACTAAAACATTGCAGCTTTTAAAGCTGTAATATGAAGGCCATTTTATATCAAGCACCCAATGACTGTATTCAGAAAACACTTAATGAGTTCGGTTCGCAGAGAACATTTTTTTACCTTTGATTAATGGCAGAGTGTTGAAAGAGCCTGTGATTATCTTGCCTGAAGAAAGCACAGGTTGTCCTTGAAGACAAGCAATTAGCACTTTTTTCCTGGGTGAGACGCCTGAGGACAGCTCCCAATGATTTTTCAATTCTGTAGCCTATTGCTCTGAATCCAGCCTTACTCTTAGTAAGACACTAAGTTGCTTTTAGCTAAATAATGGCATTTTCGCACCTGAGATGAATTTGATTGTGTCTTGGTTCACTCTCCTATAGCACAGGTGGCTGGGGCAGTGAGTGTCAATGCAGTTTTCAGCAGAAAAGATCATAACTTGAGATAAGTCTTGAAGTCAAGCACCCAAAGCTGCCCATTTTGGGCAGTGAATTGAGCTGCAACCTGAAAAGGGCAAAAAGAATCAGGAGTTTCCCTTATTCCTGATCTGTGAGTGGACAACTTTGTTTACTCCACCAGTGTCTTTTTGTCAGAATTAAGGTCATAAACTTTTTCAAGCCAAAGACCTTGATAGCTTAGATGTTTTATTTGCAATTTACTGAGTTCTCTTGAAGAGTGTGACACAAAAAGCTGTTTTGTCTTGAAAGCCCTATTGGTGGTAGCTTGTTGATCTTGAATGTTCATCCCTGTTCAAGTTCTGCAGACTGAGCTCAAACTCTTGAAATAATCACACCTGTAATTCTTGGAACTTACATGTACTTCTTACTATTGTTGAATTTGATACTCTATGTTAATGGAAATACAAAGACCTTCAGGAGTGTTAACGGCCTTTTCCCAAATGACTGGATGCCAAAAGCTGGAAAGGTGTAGGAGGGGATGATGCTGTTCCTTGTCCTGTGCCCTTTCCCCAAGCGTTCCTTCTGGCTGCTCTGAAGACAATACTTGGCAAGAAGGCCTTTGCTCTGACCTAGAGTAGTCAGACTTTGTTCTGCGTTGTCAGGAAACTGTAAAAGGTGGCCTCAACTTTTGGTAGAACACAGTCAAACAAACCTATTTTACAGCCCTCTATTAATTTTCAGTGTCTTCGGGCCGCAAATCAGATGTTAGATGACACCGTCTAAACTTTACATAAGCCACCTATTGTAAACACCTAGTAAATCTCACCCTACACCAGCCAGTAGCCAGTACTGTGGTGTTGTCCTTTTATTAGCTGTTTTTTCCTCTTTTGCTCAAAGCAGAAACAAACAGCGAAGTCTTCAGTAAGTGCCACTGTTTCCCCCCTCTCCTCCGACTTCCTCTTCGGCTCTGAGTTGCCTGACAGGAGAGCCCTCCATGTGATAAAGCCAAAGCCCACAAGGCTGAAGGAGGTTTCTTGGCTGCATGATCTCATCCCACTGAGGGAGCGGGAAGCATTATTTTTCCTGAAGTACAGGATGCAGATTTTGTTTTGGTTGTGCTCTTTTCTTTTTCTGGGGATGGAAAGGTAATGCCGTGACTTTGGCACAAATACGTATATAAAACAAATTAACTTTACAGCAGTAGCTGTATGACTAGCACTGAGAGCCTGTGTTTGTGAATAGCATTTATGTTAATTATATTAATTTTCTTGTGCCTCTTTCTGTGGCTCATTTGTGCTTTCTTTTATCAAGCAACTCACTTGTGTTGTCAGTCCTTTCTTTCTGTTTAGAAACTAATGGGAAGAAGTGGTGAAGTTGAACATCTAGAGTTCTAAAGCCAGACTGTCAACGTAAACGGTGGGACCTCTGCAGCCTTTATTCAGCTCCCATGAATCTATTCATGGTCGAGTTTATGTAGTTTAAATCAGGCTCCCTCCTTACTCTGTGCAGGGGAAAATGCTTATTAAAAGCAACTATTCGATATTTCACTTTTTTGATTGTGTGGCCTCACACTTTATTTGCCAGTCATATAATTTTCAGAAATCAGAATTAATTTCCTTGGGGTATCTTTGGTTCTGTTCATCTCAATACAGTACGTTAACATTAGTTAAATTCTGTAACACCCAAGAGGAAGAGAATATTATTTCCTCTTGTAAAAGCAGGTACTTTGGGACAAGAAGATTGAAATTGGAAGTGTCCCTGTATATTGAGCCCCTTCTTTGACATGCGTAGGGTCTCCTTTGCTTGGGAGAGGTTGGCAGTTCACAGTATTTGTGTGTTCAGACCTTAATGCACCATCCTCAGATGGTTAGTGGCCTGTTAAGAGACCACATTCCCTGTATCATCCATGGAGAGAGCACAGAGGTGTTGGCTGCCTGAAGCTAAATATTTCCAAGGAGGGACCAGTTCTCTCAGGCAGCATCCTATTGCCCTAAATTGCAAAACCATCCTGCAGTTCCTCTTCCTACAAAACCAGCTGGAGTTACCCCTTCCATCGTTCTCAACAAATGGAGAAATCCTCTGTGTCTCCTTTCATTCCTCTTCCTGATCTGAATGAGAAGATGACACTGTGGAAAAATGATCTTTTTCGATTATGTCTATGTACGTTCAGGGAAGGGTGAATAAAAGCAACACGAGCAGCATTCATCTTGGCATCTCCAAACTCTTTGTGCTCTCTGGAATTTATTTCGACTGAGACTGTCTGAATTGTCACTTCACTATTTTAAAAATTGTGAGGAGTCAGGCTGCTGTCTGACTGCTTCTGAAGGAGTAGAAGATCTGTAATTTACCTCTGCTGGCCAAGGAGGCTGATAGAAGTCGTAGGTTCTTCCATGGTCTGGTCCCTGGTATGAGCCCCTTCCTGGTGGTTTCATGGGCAGCTGCTAATGGAAGATGAACATTGAGACTTGGGAATCCTGCATTCCCTTGAGGCTGGAGGGCAGTGGGCTCTAGTTGTTCGACTCCTATTTTACGCAGTAACTATGAAGCTTGCTCTCTTGCTGCCTTTAATTGTTTGTGTTCTGTGAAGTTAATAAGATTTCAGGCTTTAGAACTGTTTTTCAGCTACTACTGTTTCTCTTGCTGCTAAACATAGTGATATTTTTGAAAGTACAGCCAAACTGCTTGAGCTCCTTAGCCTCATTTTATTTATTTATTATTTTTTTTTCATTTTACCCAACAGACCAGTTCTTCACCCCATTCTGGACTGCCCAAACAAGTCAGGATTAAAACTTCCCAATCTGTGGGGGATGTGAACGTACCCTACCAGCAGCCAGAACCCAGAAGTAGGCATCTGTCTGTCAGTGAGTATTTCTGCCACTTCTGCCTGTCTTTGCTATGTGAAATGCGTTTTTAGGGCACTAGTGTTTATGGTACAGCTTTATGAAAGCCACGAGAAATTGAAAGGTTATTCAAGGACAAGGCAGTTCATTTTCAAAAGCTCTTAATATGTTTACAATAGAATGTTTCAAAGTTCCTTACTGAGTTGTTGAACAGCTGAGGAGCTGCTAAAGGGGATGTCCTAAAGCCAGATTCATTGAGGTTAGAGATTTGGAAAGCTTACGTGAGTCCATTAAGCTTTTTATTTAGATTGGCAATTCCAGTTCATGAAACCTACATTTGTTTGGGGTTGGTTTTTTGTTGGTTTTGTTTTTTTTTTTTTAATGTTGGGCTTTGGAATCTGTCCTCACTCCTGTAATCAAGCATTTTAGTAGCAGCCCAGGAGTTGGCACTGCGTGTCTAAGCAGTGCCCTACGTACCGAGGTCCCTCACCTCTCACTCCTAATTACCAAGGCTAATACCATAGGTGATTGGCACAGCTGCACAAAAGATAATGAGAAAAGTCAGAGTAGCATGTAGCTTTATCGCATTTCCTTCATGTTTCTGTTAGCTTAGTGAACTCACGTTTAGTGGACAGGTCCACATAAGACTCCTGTAATTTTTATGATTTCTATCTCTGGTAGATTTGACGGAGTCATCCCAATTTCTGTGTTATAACCCCCTGTGTAACTGTGCAGTCCTGTTCAGATCTGTGGTTGAAGGATGCTCAAAGCTGTTAACTTTTTATATGAAAAACTAAAACATCTGAAACTGCTTCAGAGACTTGTGGGTCCAAAAAGAAAAAAAAAAGTCTGTGGTTTAGAATCTGGCTCCTTGGTGTGAAACTGAGCGAGCAGCGAAAGAGCAGGCAGAGGGTGAGCAGCAATAGGGATCTGCAGTATGAGGGCTGGAGCCTAAGATGATGTTCTATGGAAATTACTTTCACTTTAGAAGTGAGACAGGCTAAATTTTGCTGGAAACAGCAGCAGAGGATGGCTGTGTTTGTTACAACAGCTATTTTAGGGTTTGTCAGACCTAATGTTTCAGATGGCAGGTGCTGCAAATCACGAGGGCAGAACTAGGAGCTGGGAATGTCAGAGGTGGTTTGTTTCCAAGTTCCAAACCAGTTCCCTGTGTGGAAGAGGAGTGTTTTGGTTTCATTCACTGTGTAAGCTTGAGGCGTAAGCGTTACAGGATTTTTAGATCAGTATTTGAAATGCAATCTTAGTGTCAAATTAAATTCCAACAGTCTCCATATCGGGAGACCTAAACTGGACTCAGATCCTCACCATTCTGACCAAAAAGTAGTTGGGAGAGGAAGCTCAGTAGGGAAGGACGTGAGAAGGAGACCACTAGTTCTCAACACCAGACGTGCCAGCAAACCTTACTGTATCCTGTCTAGAGGCTGCCGATCCCCTTCTATAGTTTGCTTTCATGAAGCAGCAAACAAACAAATAGAGAAGTGCTGAAAGCTTGTGAAGTACGTGACTGAAACTGGGACAAAAAGGGGTTTCCCATCCTTTCTAGTTTGAAGTTAATATGCATAAAAAGAGCAACATTCCTCAGTCCTGTGAAGACGGTATCTGTGCAAGTCTGAACACCACGTTTCTTTTTTCACTGACAAATTCAATGCCAAAAATATTTAAAAAAAAAATAAAAATCATTCTCCTTTATTGGCATTCTAAGGTATCCAAATAATGATGCCAAAGCTAACAGACTGTACCGAGTGTCTGTCGTGGGTAAACTGTATAGTAATAAGGGGCCCCTTTGGTATCCCAGATGTACAGACTTTTTCCTCTTATCCGAGCTTGTGATGCTTTCTGATCAGGCTGTCATTCATCAATCAAGAAACCATCAGTTTTATTTTCTGAACATGTCAGAGTACCAGACTGTGAAATTACTAAGAGGTCCAGAAGAGCTCCGGTTCTGTCAGAGGTCTGATAGTCATTTGGCAAATAGCTCAGTCTTGAATCAGTTCTTTCTTCCTTCTCTTCTCCTATCTTTGATTTGGAAAAGGAATGTGCTCCTGTCTCCTGGTGTTTCAGCCACAGAGATTTTCCTATTCATACCACGTCATGCGATGAAAGTCGAAAGCGGAGTTCAACAGAAGCTGTTTGCATGCAGGAGATGTATCTGTGTAGTTCCTGTCCTCTTTAAGTGGTCGGGCCTCAAGCCTGCTGTCCCCAGTTCAGAGGTTTGGAAGTAAAGATAACTTTTATTTAAAAAAAAAAAAAAAAAAAGTTGCTAAGCATTCTGGCAGCTCTTGTGTTTTTTCCACTCACTTCCTTTGATATACATTGATTTAGTGCCGACTTCCTTTTCCTGCCCAGTGATGGTGGCCCCGTCCACAATAGCGGCTGGGCCGGTGCCAGCGGGACATGGGCTCCCTTTGGCCGGCCATGGCACCGCGTCGGAAAGAGTGAAAGTCTGCTCCCGTGACTCAGGGCCGCCCCAAAGCACGTTCTCTTGTTTATCTCCACGCCAGTTGGCTTGTGATGTCACGTGAGCCCCGCAGCGCTGCTTGGAAAATCAGCTGGTAGCTCCAAGCAGTAGATTTTAAATTTTTTTTTTTTTTTTGCATACAATTCACCCCCCTGCGCACTCTAAGCGGTGCCAACCTTGGGTTGGCTTTTCTTCCCTTCTGTGGTCCTCTGAAAGCTGTGTGAGCTGCTTTTCAGTTAGCTTAGAATCATAGAATGGTTTGGGTTGGAAGGGACCTTAAAGATCGTGGAGTTCCAACCCCCTGCCCTGGGCAGGGACACCTCCCACCAGCCCAGGTTGCTCCAAGCCCCCTCCAACCTGCCCTTCAACCCCTCCAGGGATGGGGCAGCCACAGCTTCTCTGGGCAACCTGGGCCAGGCTCTCCCCACCCTCACCCCAGAGAATTTCTTTCTAATATCTAATCTAAATCTCCCCTTTTTCATTTTAAAACCATTACCCCCTGTCCTATTGCTACAATTCCTCATGAAGAGTCCCTCCCCATCTCTCCTGTAGCCCCCTTCACGTACTGGAAGGCTGTTATAAGGTCTCCCCAGAGCCTTCTCCATGCTGAGCAACCCCAGCTCTCTCAACCTGTCCTCACAGCAGAGATACTCCATCCCTCTGATGACTTTCATGGCCCTCAGCTGGCCCCACTCCAACAGGTCCATGTACTTCCTGTGTTGAGGACTCCAGAGCTGGACACAGTGCTCCAGGTGGGGTCTCACAAGAGTAGAGTAGAGGGGTACTCTGCTTCTGCTGGTGTTTGCCTTCACTCTGTATTACAATAACTTCTGTAGAAAATATTTTCCTTGGGAGAGTGTTTGCTGATCTTTACCCATCTTTCATAGCACCTGAGTACACACAGTTAATTAAAGACAGCATCGTAAAGAGTTGATCTTAAAATGCTGTCTCTGGCTTCATGGGTGACCTTGAGCACCTTGGCTGGGCCACAAGGGTTTCTTGGCACTCACAGTCTGACTTGGTGGGAGCTGCAGGTGGGTAGGTCACTGCAAAAAGGGATTTTGTATCTTCCTGTTTCTGAAGTATCATTTTCTTTGAGGTCTGCAAGGAAAAAATAAGTCCTAGGGGGGAATTTTGAAGTTTCTCTCAGTAGGTAGCACAACATAAACTCTTGAGGTAGTACCGTTAACAGGTGATTAAAATGCTTTTCTCATCCTGCGGTCTCTAAATGTACTCTCTGTCCATCTGCTGATCTCATCCAATTTAAGAATGGGCCTCCATGTGTTTTTGCCCAGACTGGTCATAGAATCACAGAATTGTCTAGGTCAGAAGGGACCTTTCAGATCATCTAGTCCAACCATCAACCGGTTCCCATCGTACAGTTTCATTTTTTCACTCAGTACACCAGAAATTGGAGGGCTATTTACCAAGGTACCAGTGCTCCCATGTGATTCCAGAATTGCTCAGGGTCTGTATAATTAGCTCAGGTGACGATGATGAGCAGGGATGGTGCTGCCACTCAAGGTAAATGATACCAGTTGAGGCAAACTTATAATCAAGAGAGAAGATTGGTTGCCCTGACACGTGTGGTGGTTAGTGGAGATTAGTAGCAAAGTGAAGTTCATGCCCAAAATCCAGGGATTCCTGGGCTCCTCTTTCTTCCCTGAGATACTGAAGTTGTGCTTAAAAGGCTGAGAAGAGGTAAGAAATAGGCACTTGCTCTGTTAAAAGCTTCACCAGTAATAATACGTTGACCAAAATTTCAGTGCAGCTGCTCCTCAAACGATTTGCTTTTTGAGATGGCACCTCCTGGTTCCATTTCTGTCCAGCCTGTGAGGTTCACTCCAGAGTTGCTGTGATCAGAGAGGTGTAGTGTTAGAGGTTGAATGTTTGGATTTTGTGCATGTACGGTCTTGTTTCAGTGAGTGTAAATATCAAAAATGTCCTTCTTTCTAACCCAGGTTCCCAGAACACAGGCCGAAGTTCACCACCTCCTGGGTACGTTCCGGAGAGGCAGCAGCGCATCGCTCGGCAGGGCTCCTACACCAGCATAAATAGCGAAGGAGAATTCATCCCAGAAACCAATGAACAGTGTGTAAGTAGGAGCAGGAGGGTGAAAATAAGCAAGTCTGGCTGCTGAGGAGCTCTCTGGGCCCTCTTTTTCACTCCAGAATATTCCCCAGCTGCATTTGCATTAGCACCTACTAGTTCTGCTTTGTTCATTTGAACTGTGCTTCAAATCTGTTTGTAGTTGCATAGTTCAAAGCCTTTGTTGAACTGCCAGAAGCAGTTGCCCTGTGCCTTGGGCATTGGATCTTCAGCTCCGAGTGAGCAGTTGTGGTGTGTGTTACACACATATGCCCAGGTTTCCTATTCCTGGGTTTTTGTGACCCTCTTGACCCTCTTGTGATGCTTTGAAGCTGCACTTTCCATTCAAAAAAGTCGGAAGCAAGGCCAAAGGGCGACGTGCAGGTGGAGGCAGCGATGCAGCGGCACCAGCAGAGACCTTGTTCCTGAAGTCAGTTGGGATCAAAACAGAGCCCCAGGCTGACTTAAACTTTCATTTTTCCCAGTTTTAGGTCGACACCTAAAGCAATATCTCAAATTTGCTTTGTCCTTAATAATTTCTGTGGGAGATAAAGGAAAAATGTACATTCCAAGTAGTTTTAGAGTCCCCTTTTCATCTGGATGCCCTCCAGTCCTTGGGACCCTGATCCTCTTGCACAGCCTCTGTCAGGCCTTAGAGGGAACTGATGTTGCCATGTGATTTCTTCTGTGTTGCAGATGCTGGACCCGTTAAGCAGTGCCGAGAACTCGGTGTCAGGAAGCTGCCAGTCCTTGGACAGGTCAGGAGACAGGTACAAATGTACAAGCTGGTAGGAACTTCAGTGCTGAAAGTGAAATGCCACTTGTACTTATGCAAAAGTCTGGTTTCCATCTCGTAAATTTTCTTGGCAATAGGAAATAGGAACTTATTTCCTACCTATATCCCAGTATAATTCTTAGAGAGAATTAACGATGTCTTAAGGCTGTTTTATTTTCTGGAAAAACCATCCACCAACAAACTCGTGCCTCAGTAGCTCTGTGTTATAAATACAAAGTTCTAAACCGTGCTGTCTGTGCAGAGCCCAGGCTCCGAGAACATCTGGCTGCAGGGTATTTAAATCTCTTTTAAACAAGGCTCTACTTGTTCGTTAAAAAAAAAAAAAACAAAACTATTCTAAGGTTACAGAAATATATCATTACACTAGATTCCTATGTCCTGCAAGATACACTATTAATTCCAAAGGTAAATAGGGGAGCTCTTCCTTTGATGAAGAGTTTGTTTTAGTCTGATGCTCTAGATCTTTTTTCTTCCTTTTCTTTGCTGCTGCTTGAGATGTTGGTGGGCAGCCGTAGGTCCTACTGACTTGAAGAGCAACTGTGGCTTCCCAACACCTGCAATATCAGGCTTCAGCATATTTTTAATATTCCTCCATGCTGATTCCTGTAGGTAGTGTATGCTTTTATGGCAAGCACTTGAAGTTTGGTTTTGTAGCCATTCATGGAGTCACAAGGAAGCACTTAAGAGTTAACCTGCGTGTGTGTTTGCATTCATTTACTTGCTGGGGGACATTACTAATTTGTTACCTCTCCTTCTCTCCCCTTTCCCTGCCCTAAGTGGAGAAGGGGGGAAAATAAAAAAGCCTTCCTGGTTATTCCTTGTAGATGAGGCATCATCTGGGGAAGCTGTTGTTCTTTGTGTAGTTGGAAAGGAATCTCGTTTGGGAGTCTGAAAGCCGTATCAGGCTTACTCCATTTACACTGGTTAACAAAAAAAAAAAGTGCAAATAACATGGCTTTGGCACAGACTGAGTTTGTGTAATCTCTTAAGAGATGTTAAGGACCTTCTGCCAAACCAGGGGCCATACTTAGACTTGCTTGAGGAGTCCTGCTTAGTGGGGAGAAACGTGAGGGTTGTGAGCAATGTTTGTGTTCAGGCTCATCTGCTGCTGGTAGAGAGGAAAGCACACACAAGCTTTCATGGGAGGAATTCTTCCCCCTCAGGATAAATCACTGGGGGCCATAATCCCCATTATCCACTGCCCTGGGGGCAACATGCTGCCAGCTGTACCCTGTGCTGTTCTTCCTCTCAGCCTTGGTTTTACCCTTCTCCTTAAAGCACTGGGTCTTAGACCAGTGAATAAATGGCACAAACTGAGCAGAAAGGGTGACGCTGGGAAATAGCCTGGCTCACTGGGGCTTAGCTTGACTTTAGCTTTGCAGATGTAGTGTGAAATTATTGCAGGGCCACGGATTTGAGAATCACCCTTACTTAAAGTCCTTGTAGGTTTCGCTCCAGTAGATAGCAAAACTCATTCTTGCCTTCTCTCTTTAATAGTCCTTCTTTTCGGAAGTCACGGATGTCAAGGGCACAAAGCTTTCCTGATAATAGACAGGAGTTCTCAGGTATGTCAGTGTCCAATATAAAGATTATTTGATCCAGACATTTTCTACTGTTTGCTGGCTACCCTCCCTGCTTGCTGGGATTGTGTAAATAGAAGAACTGGGGCTATGTTGACTGAAAAGCTATGAAGTTATTTATGACCTTTTTCTAAAAAAGCTTGCTGTTAGAGGAAAATTCTGTCATTAGCACTTATGTTTTTTGAAGGAGCCTCACTTCTCTCTTTGCATCTCGTTCCAGAGCGTGAGAATCAGATCTATGACAAAGCAGGGAAAGGTGGGACCTACCCTCGGCGCTACAACGTCTCCATGCAGCACAAAGACTACAACGACGGTGAGTTGGCTTCAGACCTTCCATTCCAGGCTTGAAAAAGAAGATGAGGCAATGGCAACCTCCAGGGGCAAGTCTAACTCCTGGTTGAAGAGTCTGGAAGTGCCCAGGTCTTTGCAGTTAACGCTGGAGTTAATGCTGCCGTGCGCTGCCACGTTTTCGTAGCATCCCATGATGGATATTTGCAATTTTTGTTTATTTTGCCCTCATTAGTGACTTTTTTGATCCTCTGCTCAACACCTGCAGGCACCGATCAGTGACAAAGTCACTGATCGGTGCCTGCAGGTGTTGAGCAGAGGATGTAGTTATTAGTTTTGGTCATATATAGTGGGCTCCTACCCCAGGGGTTCATTACACTTTGCTAATTCACAGTGCACGCTTGCTTCTGGGTCTTCCCCAGGGGTTCATTACACTTTGCTAATTCACTTCTTGCTTGCTTCTGGGTCTTTTAAATATACCCATGACTTGAAGAATCACATCTCTGCTCATCAGGTGGCTTTATGCATATTAATTTCTCAGAGTTTCCTAAGAGGTGCACGTTGTCATAATCTTTGTTTATGGTTCTTTTTTGCGAGTCCAGGCACATTATTTAGAAAGCCATCCTGCCTGTGTAGTTGTTAACAAGCCTCAGAGCTTGTGGGGTAGCTTGTAAAATGGATTTGTGCTTTGGAAGGCAAGCGTAGATCTTGCACTGCTGCACTGAGGGCATTGCAAAGTGTTCTCTCCCTTCTACTTTGGGAGGGATCCAAAGCTGTGCTGAGCTCAAGCAGCATCAGCCCTGAAACTGTTATATTTTTGCATCTTGCCTGTTTGGCACTGGATTGTACTCTGCGGGAGCAAACCAGAACACGTTTTTTTTTTCTCTCCCTTCTCTTCATTGCTCAACCTCAAGCTATTACTTTTCGCTTCTAAGCACATGCTGTTTTGCTGTTTAAAAATGTTACTTTTTTTCTCCAGGCCGGAGGGTCATATATAGTGGGCTCCTACCCCAGGGGTTCATTACACTTTGCTAATTCACTTCTTGCTTGCTTCTGGGTCTTTTAAATATACCCATGACTTGAAGAATCACATCTCTGCTCGTCAGGTGGCTTTATGCATATTAATTTCTCAGAGTTTCCTAAGAGGTGCACGTTGTCATAATCTTTGTTTATGGTTCTTTTTTGCGAGTCCAGGCACATTATTTAGAAAGCCATCCTGCCTGTGTAGTTGTTAACAAGCCTCAGAGCTTGTGGGGTAGCTTGTAAAATGGATTTGTGCTTTGGAAGGCAAGCGTAGATCTTGCACTGCTGCACTGAGGGCATTGCAAAGTGTTCTCTCCCTTCTACTTTGGGAGGGATCCAAAGCTGTGCTGAGCTCAAGCAGCATCAGCCCTGAAACTGTTATATTTTTGCATCTTGCCTGTTTGGCACTGGATTGTACTCTGCGGGAGCAAACCAGAACACGTTTTTTTTCTCTCCCTTCTCTTCATTGCTCAACCTCAAGCTATTACTTTCCACTTCTAAGCACATACTGTTTTGCTATTTAAAAATGTTACATTTTTTTCTCCAGGCCGGAGAACATTTCCTCGGATACGGCGTCACCAAGGGAATCTTTTCACCTTGGTCCCTTCCAGTCGTTCCTTAAGCACCAACGGAGAAAACCTGGGGCTGGCCTTGCAGTACCTGGACCCCCGGGGCCGCCTGCGAAGTGCCGACAGCGAAAACGCCCTGGGTGTGCAGGAGAGGAACATCCCCACCAAATGTAAGCACTCACCCTGGCAGTGGCAATGGGGAAAGACCTTCCCCTTGTTCAGCCTGGAGAAGAGAAGGCTCCGGGGAGACCTTATAGCGGCCTTTCAATACCTGAAGGGTGCCTATAGAAGAGCTGGGGAGGGACTCTTTGCCAGGAGGTGTAATGATAGGACAAGGGGAAACGGTTTTAAATTGGAAGAAAAAAGATTCAGATTAGATCTCAGGAAGAAATTTTTTACTATGAGGGTGGTGAGACACTGGAACAGGTTGCCCAGAGAAGCTGTGGCTGCCCCATCACTGGAAGTGTTCAAGGCCAGGCTGGATGGGGCCTTGAGCAACCTGCTCTAGTGGGAGGTGTCCCTGCCCAGGGCAGGGGGGTTGGAACTAGATCATCTTTGAGGTCCCTTCCAACCCAAACCATTCTATGATTCTATGACCTCCTGGGGATACGGGCAAGAAAGGCTTTTAGAGATGAACTCCAGACCCAATATATTGCCATGGCTTGATTTTTAACAAGCCATTCAAACCCCACATAATAATAACCCCCTGCACCAAGACAGGTTGGGGGCTGGCCTGCTGGAAAGCAGCTCTGAGGAAAAAGACCTGGAAGTGCTGGTGGCCCATGAGCCAGCAATATGCCCTTGTGGCCAAGAAGGCCAACGGCATCCTGTGGTACGTCAGTAAGAGTGTGACCAGCAGGTGGAGGAAGGCCATCCTGCCCCTCTGCTCTGCCCTGGGGAAGCCATATCTGGAGTATTGTGTCCAGTTCTGGGCTCCCCAGTTCAAGAAGGACAGGGAACTGCTGGAGGGGGCACAGCAGAGGGCTACACAGATGATGAGGGGGCCTGGAGCATCTCTCTTATGAGGAGAGGCTGAGGGACTTGGGTCTTTTCAGTCTAGAGAAGAGAAGGCTGAGGGGGGATCTGATCAATGCCTATAAATACTTCAAGGGTGGGTGTCAGGAGGATGGGGCCGGTCTTTTTTCAGTGGTGCCCAGGGAAGGGACAAGAGGGAACAGGCACAAACTTGAACATAAGAAGTTCCACCTAAACATGAGGAGGATCTTCTTTCCTGTGAGGGTGGCAGAGCCCTGGAAGAGGCTGCCCAGGGAGGTGGTGGAGTCTCCATCACTGGAGACATTCAAACCCCACCTGGACACGTTCCTGTGGGACCTGCTCTGGGTGGACCTGCTCTGGCAGGGGGTTGGACCGGATGATCTCCAGAGGTCCCTTCCAACCCCATAGCATTCTGTGATTCTGTAATTACATGGCAGTGTTTTGAGACCAGTCTGTCTCACCTATAAGACGGGTCCTCCTCTTCTTCTAACAATATATAGTCTTGCACTGGAAGCTGGCCTTTCCTTTAGAAAGCATTGGAAATTCAGCAAAGAATTTACAAAAAAACTATAAGTTGATTGGATCTGGATGATCTACAGGGTTCTTAAGAGTCAGACAGGCTTGTTTATTTTCTTCATACATTAACATTTGTAGTCAGGCTTGTGGGTTACAGTTATTTTACTCATTAAGGGCTGTATTTATTTCACTTGCTCCTTAGTAGAAAGATTTACTTCTGTATTAATAGCATTCCTGGGTTGTTTTTGGGGGAACTTTATATTACGAAAAAAAGAAACGGAACATAAATCAGTACTGATGAACTTCAGATATCCTGTGCAGTAATTTAAGGATTAAAATGAAGACATTAATGCAGCAAAGTAAGCCACACACTAAAACACTGACTGGCAGTAAATCTGATTAAATTAGACATGGCAAAGCTAATCTCTAAGATCTTCTGTATTTTTCGCACTGTCCAGATGGCTGGTTCCTGTCTTTGTTTTTAGAGTTTCTTGTTAGATACAAGATAATGGGGTGCATTGTGCTGCCTGTGTCTTGTAGCATCGTTTTCAAGGCTCAAGCTAAAGAACTGATCTTTGAGCGGTGTGTTTGGGTACGAGGTGCAGTTTGGAAAACTGGGTTCAGGTGTTAATTTCTGGGTCAGGAGACTGTACAATGCGCTCGCCAGGGCAGTAGAACAATGAGAACTCATAATTCCCTGCTGGGGGATTGGTGGTGGATGTGTTACGTGGTTTTCATGTCTATTTTTATTAGACTCTGATTGCTCAGCAGGTAAAGAAGATACCTGTGCTGTTCTTACGTTATGGCCCTTACTGTATCCATTTCTAGCAGGGAATTATGACTTCTAATTTTTCTTCTGTAGAGCAGTGAAATCCTTCCAGCAGGAGAAGGAACCCCAAACTAACCAATGGTTGGCAAAGAACTCAGAAATAATGTCCTTCAGGTTGTCCCAGAAGCTTAACAGTCATTCCCAGCTGAGTGGGATTGATTTAGCAAGGCTGATCCAGCTCTTCTTCGTCTGCTGCGTGTAGTAAATACAGATCAAGGCTGGGAAGATGCTGTTTAACTGCTGCCCCATCTCTTCAGATAGCGATGTTGTAGAGTCCACCCTGCCAGTGGAATGAAATTTCATCTGCCTTATTGAATAACTTGTCTATAAGTATAGTTTTGCAAAATGTCTCGCAGTTTTGATTTAATGGGCCTTGAGTTTAGGAAAATTTAGGAAAAATTTTTTCACTGAAAGGGTTCTCAGCCCTTGGAATGGGCTGCCCAGGGAGGTGGTTGAGGCCCCATCCCTGGAGGTGTTCAAAAGACGGGTTGATGAAGTGCTGGGAGGTCTGGTTTAGTGATGATGCTCCTTGTTTGTTGTGTGGGTGTCTATTTTTGTCAGTCAGGTTGACGGTTGGACAAGATGATCTTTAAGGTCCCTTCCAACCTAGAAGATTCTGTGATTCTGAGTCAGCAGATCCTGAGGGTCTGAAGGGTTGGCTTCTGCTCAGAGTTCTGCCACTGACTCCCTTGTACCGGGAGAGCACCCCATGTCTGTTTCTTCAACTGCAAAATACCCGTTTCAATCCCAATATGATGGGGTTGATCTTTGAAAATATCACCGTTATCTTTAAATAGTAACAATTTCTCTTTTCATTATACTGTTCTTTTTTAGCTCCGAGTGCTCCAATAAACTGGCGCCGAGGAAAACTGCTGGGCCAGGGAGCCTTTGGCCGGGTGTATCTGTGCTACGATGTGGACACGGGCAGAGAGCTTGCAGCTAAGCAGGTCCAGTTTGACCCAGAGAGTCCTGAAACAAGCAAGGTAATTCTCATCACAGCTTCCAAAATTCATTCTGCAGACTTTGAGACCCTGTAAAGGGCCTGGAGCTGTCTGTCCTCGAAAGCTAGTACCTTATTTAGTTTGTACTGGGGTTTCAAGTCATGTGAAGAGGAGTAAGTCATTTAAAAATTACTTTTCCGTATTATTAACTTCAGCCTGAAACTAAAATCCATTTTCTGGCTTCGTTTTTGGCTCTCCCTTCTCAGCTTTTTGGTTTGTTGCCAGGTTACTTGAGGAATACTAGACTGCCCTGTGTTCCTGGTTAGACATGGATGTGAATGAAACTAAACCCAGAAAAAGTACAACTTTTTTTTCTTCTTTAAACAAAAAAAGCTGCATGCACTTGCAAAAAACCACTTTCTGGGCTTATGTGGTACGTCCTGTATAAGTGTATTAATTATCAATTCCTGCTTCTGAATTCTCCCTATTAATTACCAACTCCTCCCTGAATTCTCAAAACAGGCTGAACTGTGGTGAGTAAATTAATCAAGAACAGTGATGTGAGAACTCATTAGGAATAGTGGAGATGGGAAGGGGCACCTTGAAATGACAGGTCAGCACACAACTCCCTGCCTAATGGACACAGCTGGAACAGCTGTTAGGTTCTTTCCTAGTGCTTTAACAGTGGACCAGTCCCCAATACTCAACAAATTCACTTCAAGCTGGAATAACTGATCCGTAAAGATTTAATTACTCTAATTTCATATGCACTGTTAGTGCCAGGATAAGTCCTAACTTGGGAAGTTCTAAGTTATACCATGTCTCTGTTGTAAATCAGACAGTATCTCTGAGTGAAGGAAGAACAGGCTGGAATGTTCTTTGAAGCCACTGAAACTCTGAACATTAATCTATCAGTTGGCCTGATTTGGCAGCTCCCTCTGGTTCCCTGCGTCTCTGCAGCAGCCAAGTGCTTGCTCGTGAAGATCTACGTCCTCCCCCAAAGTGAGAGAGGTCAACCTGGCACTTTCCAGTGGCAGGAGTGAAGAGAGTTAAGTGGGACTAATTTTGGGGAAACCATCATTCCTTTTTCCATAAATCCTTGTGCTCCGGTGCCTTTGATGTTCAGCTTGTTCATTCCCTGGACTCAGCAAGAACCTGATACTGTTCCCGGGCAACAAACATCTCTGATTCAGTCTGAAATTGTTGGATAGTCTTTTTGTCTTTGCACCATGATACCCTGTTGTCTGTGGCAGGAATAAAGCAGAGAGTTGGTTTCATGTGCACAGCTGCAGATTCTTTGAGGGAAATAAGAGAGGAAGCTGTTTCTGAGGGTGATTCAAGTAAAATCATCAGTGTGAATCAGAACAGGTACTGGGTGACAAAAGAGGTTTAGGAGCTCTTAGCACCTGTAGTCTGGCTCCCTAATGGACTGAGGTTCCTACAGAAGGATTCCTAGCAATTCTGTAATTGTATTCAGAACTTTTTTGTCACTGCACTCAGCTAAGTGGTGAGAAGTAAGGTTATGTCTGTGTTGTGTAAAGAATGCTTTAACCTACTTGGCTAAAGCCAGTCAGCTGAGAGAATCAAGACAAGAAACGGTTTTTCTGGTACTAAATCCATGTGTGATACTGCCTGTGTTCTATCAAAGCTTCTGTATCAGTGCTTACCTGCTTATTATACAGTAAGGATTAAGGGGAAGCATTGGTAATGGTGCCTTTCCCAAGAGGTGGGTGAGCCAATGCCATGGATTAGGCTTCTTCAGCGTAGTAGTGACCTTTCCAGTGACATGGACAGATTTATTAGGATGGCATATTTCTCGGGAACAGAACCTTATTTTCTCTTTCAACATTTATAGGAAGTGAGTGCCCTGGAGTGTGAAATTCAGCTGCTGAAGAATCTCCAGCACGAACGGATCGTTCAGTATTACGGCTGCTTACGGGATCGGGCAGAGAAGACCTTGACCATCTTCATGGAGTACATGCCGGGGGTAAGAGAGGACAGGAGCAGCACAGTCACAGAGATGGGTGGTTTTCGTAGTTGGTTTATTAGTTGCTGTGATTACTCTGTGTAATCCACTTTATACCCTCTTAGGTATGCCCCCTTCTCATACTGGCATTGTAATGCCACCACTTCCTTTTTATTTATGCCCAAACCACCTCTTTGATATTTTTTCTTTGTCTTGTACTTGAAATACGTTCTCTTGATTAGTCACTAACACCAGTTCTTTTCTTCAGTCTAAATTTGTTCTAACAAAATACTTCAGAGGACTTAGGCCAACGTGTGGATCGGGCTGACTGAATTAGCAGAGTCCTGTAGTACAGCAAATTAGACTAAAACTGACCCTGCAAAACTTGTGACCCGGACCAGTCTGCTGAACTATTTTATTGCTTGTCTTCACCACCAGTTGTACCAGCACAGCTCAAGGATGGAGGAAGCAGACAGAACCCCCTTAAGCTATTTTTGCTGTAAAGCATGTCCTTGCTTTTCTTAAAAGGGGCTTCATAGGGCAAGATGTTTTGAGCGCCTCACAAAAAGGCTTTAGAAGAGGCCAGAATTCACTCCTGTGCTGGGTGGGTGTATAACACGGTCACAGCTCGTGGGAATTGAGTGGAGACTGCTAGATTTGTGGTTTGTCATTTCTTTGCCAATCCTTTCTGTTTGCTTTTGGTGCAGGGGTCAGTGAAAGACCAGCTGAAGGCGTACGGTGCTCTCACGGAAAACGTAACCCGCAAATACACTCGCCAGATCCTCGAGGGAGTCTCCTACCTTCACAGCAACATGATTGTGCACAGGGACATAAAGGGTGAGATCAGCTGGTGATTTATGTGTATACCACGTGCTAAAGGAATGCTGAAAAAAGAAACCAAGTGTTAATAATTCAGTATCCTTGCTGGGGCTTCTGTACATTGCTTTGCTCGTTTATCCCTTTTGGTCCTATGTCCTTGTATGGGTCTTAGGGAAGGTTGTGTTCGGTGCTGAGTAAGGGAAGTTGGGCTGTTTTCTCTACAGGACCCGAGACCCTGCTGGGTTGGTTATAGTAAGGTGGACTGGAAGCCTCTAATTCTTAGGAACACTCTTCATCTTCCTCTCACGCCCCAGCAAAATGAGGCTAAGTTGCCACCTGACTGTCACTGCCCCCATAAGGCACACTCTTTTCCCTCTGGATTCCCTTCTGATTTCCTTTCTGCTTGGCCAAAGTACCATTTCTCAGCTGGTAGGCACACCAGTTGCCATAGGAGCTCCATGCCTGCTCTTGACAGTCCTGCTCACCTCAGTCTCTGTACTGTCCTGCCTCCTCTGTGTAAGAAACCTCTAATCTTCCACGTAGAGCCTCTGGGATTAGTCCTTAATCTTCCTCTTCTCAATATAACCCTGTGGAGCCAGCCAGTCTCCTTAAGAGTTAATGTCAACAGATGTGGCAGACACCACACAAATTTTTCTGTGCTCTGTAGGGACCAGGAGGGTTGCTTGCTGCGGGGAAAAATACCCTCTTGTTTCTGCCTGTAAATCTTCATTGCATCCCCTCTAGGCTGGCAAAGGGAAACAAGCTGCTGATTCTTGAATAACACCTTGTTTACTGCTCATGTTGGTGCTTTTTACCAAATTATTTCCTACCTGGTGGGTTGTTCACTGGTTTGCACCCATCTAAGCCCAACTTAACTTGCCTCCAGGGTGCTGGATGGACACACTTGTTATTTTGAATTCAGCTTTTCCAGTGAAGTGATGAAGCTCTCTCCCAGCACAAGTTCATTTTATTTGAGGGCAGGAGGAGTTCATATAAGGCACATACCAGATAATGGCAACACAAGGTTCTCGATCTTAGTGCGGCTTTAGAGGAAGAATTATTTTTGATGTCTAAGCCTTAGTTAAGCTTAGCTAAGCTCTTAAGTTTGCTTTTTTCCCCTGGTGCTTCATGTTCAGGACCTCTGACCAAGTAAAGTGGAGATTGACTTGTTTATTGTAGGAGTTCAAAGGGGTTTAATTAGCTACATCTGTTACCCAGCTGACCAGAAAGCGATGCTTATGCTCCCCAAAGCAGCATCCCAAGAAAAACCCTTTCCTACACAGCCCTGTACTATCCCAGCCACTGGCCTGGGGGCCCTGCAGAGGCTGTTTACGGGCAGGGAAACAATGATGGTGCTGACTCAGCTCTCCTTTCCCTTCCCCCTTCACTTCCTTGTGTTTTTCCCCTGAAGTTTTTCCCATTTACAGCCATTAGCAATTGGCTTGTCTACAGCCCGAAATAAAGCAATGATGTTTAGCAGGTCACCTGAGGCTTAATGGGGGGAAAAAGCCGTAGCATGAGCAGGGGGTATTTCTGGGTTGGATATCAGCTCCGTCGGCTGTGGATCCAACAGCTGGATTGCATGAAAACAGCTGTCTCAATTCTTTGGTTTTTTGTCCAGGAGCCAATATTCTCCGTGACTCTGCTGGGAATGTGAAGCTTGGGGACTTTGGGGCCAGCAAACGGCTGCAGACGATCTGTGTGTCTGGAACAGGCATCCGCTCCGTCACCGGCACGCCGTACTGGATGAGCCCGGAGGTGATCAGCGGAGAAGGCTATGGAAGGAAAGCAGACGTATGGTGAGGCTTTAACTTTTCTGTCCATAGATCAATTTACAGCTTTTTTTTTCTGGCGCAAGATAAGACGTAGACATTCTGTCGTCTGTTACATCCAAAGTCAGATTTTGTCTGGATCAAAAGTTTAAGGCAAAGTCAAGACACGACCTGCCACGGGCTGTGCTTAAAGATGTCAACACACAATTGCTTGTTTAGGTTTTCAGGGACAATTTCCACTCTTTCCTCCCTTGAACTGAGAGCTGATTTTCTGTTCTCTGACTTTTTCTGGTGTGAGGTTTCCATCCATCTTATATCCGTGAGAAGAGAGAATGAAGTTTGTTTTAAGGAGCATCCATTTGTTTTGTTATAAAATGAGAGGTTGTCGTGGTTTAGGCCAAATTGGCCCGTGATGGCGACAGATGCTCTCCCCCCACTTCTCACTCCCAGGAGAAAAGGAGGAGGGTGCTTATAACATTGTGGAAATGAAAGGAATAGAATTGGAGTGTGTTGACAAAGCTCTAAAGATGCCCAAACCTGGGATAACACAGCAGATACAGGTGAGATCAGAGGTGACCTGCGATAGTGCATGGAAACTGTAGCCATGTTACTGTTGGCATCGCTGAGAAACAGCCTCTGGCGAAAGGAAAAAGCAAAGTGTTGGTTTTGGAGGCCTTAAAAAGGTGAGATTGTAAAACTAAGCTAAATGACAGTGACAAAAGGTGTGTTTGTCCCTCCCCAGTAAAGCAAGGCCTGTGCTATTTCCTGTACAAGCAGGGAGTGGAAACGGAGCAGGAATTTGTCTTGTTTGCAAAGAGTTAAGTTCCGCAGACGCTCCCGGTTGGGATGCTCGGGGAGAGAAGGGAACACGTGCCCTTCCCCCTGGGTTGATGCAGTTGTGGATTTCCTCTTGCTGCTCACATGGGTCCATTCCCATCAAAGAGACGCTGCCGTTGGCTGGGCTCCAGTTCCTACAATCCCCCTCGTTATTTAAGGGGGGGTCAGAATTTTCCAGGGCAGCGTTAGTCCCAGGGTGGATGCGTACAGCCGAGAGGCTCAAAGACGTAACAAATCTCACCACCTGGCTTTCTGCCATGGCTGCAGGCCCCTCTCCAATTTTCTTTTTCCTAAATAGCAGAAAATGTGAGCTATTTGTTATTGCTGGAGTGACTTGACATGAAAAACATTCCTGCTGTTTGCTGAATATCTTAAAGAAACCGGATCTGCTTAAACGGTATAAATCAGTCTAAACAATAATATATCCCTGCTTGCTCTTGAGCAAACCCCCAGCACTTGGGCACACATGGTTTGCATTTTCTGTACTCTCTTCTAGTAAGTCTTAAATGGCTGGAAACCAGTGTAAAATTTTCACGTTGGATTTCAAACCTTGTCAAGAAGTCATTTCTTGCATATTCACTGGATTTAATTCCTTTCCTTCCTTGTCTTGGCAGTTGATGCGAGTCTGCCTCTGAAAATGGCTTTGCTTTGCTTTTCACTTCAAAAGAGGGTTTAGTTTAAAGGTAGAAGAGGCAGTTTTTGCCTTTTTAATGGAACGCCGTGATCAAAACACGGGACTGGATATTAGAAGCTCACTGACTGCTTCTGCTTAATCTGTGGCCTGGAGGAAGCAATTAATCCTTTTTGAAACAAAACCCAATCACTGCAGTACTACAGAGACCCATCTTCCCCGGGAAGGTATTGGTGTCACACTTGCTTTGGAAAGGTGGCTCAGCCACGTCTGTCCCCGTAATCATCTACTTGCCTTGAGCTCCCTGCAGAGCCCCATTAACTTTACTAGAGTTTTGCCTTACTGTAGCATGTTTTTGCCTCGATTGGAAGCTGGTAAGACTTTAATTACTTTTTGACTCTCTATGATGCTTGATTTCTGGTGAAGTGGAGATGATAGGGTGTTTTGTTGTTTTTTTTTCCCCTGTGCTTTCTGAGGCTGCTCACTGGAAAGGGATTTTCCCAAAATGGCTTTGGTAGGGTCAACCAGCTGCGATTCACTGGACCGTGGTTAAAAAGTACATTTTCTACCTTGCAACTCAGCAAGTGCCTTTGAAACAGAACAGCAGCAGCAGCACCCAAAATACCACCGAGGTCAAATGGCGCCTTCGGGGACCTCTCGTCCCCTGCTGTTAGTGAAGATGTTACTGAGAGGAGGGTTTGAGGGAAGGAGAGATGGACAGATGGCACTTCACAGCTCTCAGGAAAGCAGCCTCAGCTCTTTTCTTCAAGCCTGAAGGTAGCAAACACAGCGATGTTGGCAGGGCCAGCTTGGGATCCACACACACCTGGGGTTTTCTGAGCACAAAGCCATTTCTGAGCTGTTTTTTGAGCTGTTTTCCAGCCGCTTGGAAGTTCTCTCTGCACACCTTGCAGCATTTGTGTGAGTCAGTTCTCACTTTGTTATTTTATCTGGTTTTTTTTTTTGTTTTTCCCCTGTCTGCTTTTCCAGGAGCCTGGGTTGTACTGTCGTGGAAATGCTGACGGAGAAGCCCCCCTGGGCCGAGTACGAGGCCATGGCTGCCATCTTCAAAATCGCCACCCAACCCACCAACCCCCAGCTCCCCTCCCACATATCAGAACATTGCCGGGACTTTCTAAAGCAGATCTTTGTGGAAGCCAGGCACAGACCCTCTGCTGAAGAGCTGCTCAGACATCAGTTTGCTCAGCTCCAGTACTGAATTACCTCCCTTTTTGCTCGCAGCTCCTGCTGGGCTTTCGGTGCCCCGTCTGGTCTAGTTGCAACTGCCCGTTGTGGTGCTGCATCTTCAAAATGCCAACTCAGCTGTCCTAGTCCTTTGGGGAAATGATGCCAAGGAACCTAGGGTCTGCTCTTGTGCCTGATACCTTTTGTTTGCTGGACTAATGTTTATTCTACCGACAGCTGTCCAAACAGAGCTGCATTTTTTGCCCTAGTTACCGTGATGTGAAATTGCAGCTGGCTGCATGTTTTCTGCGGGCCCAAAGAATGGGAAGCGAAGAAGCGTCTCGCTGGTTGAAGGTTAGAAGAAATCTGAACCCAAGTGGGGACTGGCAGAGCGACACTCTTCAGAACAGAAACGTGCCACAGTGTGGGTCACTGTTTTCCAGACTGCTCGGGCTCTAGAGGCGTCTGTAGTCCACGAATCCAGCAAGAAGCCATGTGTCATTGAGCATGCGCTCGCTATATGATGATATATTTTTTTTTTTCTTCTTAAGTATTCAGCATCTGAAGGTGTTCAGAAAATATTGATTCAAAAAAGTATGTGAATAGTGTTATTTTATAATGAAACCGTGGATTTTGGGGTGGGGGTGAAGGAGGTCTTAATAGCTAAATGTCAGGATAATCAGAAATGTTTCAGCAGAATGCAATCACTCCGGGGCCCAAGATACGGGCTCTCCCACTGATGTTAGAAAATCACATCCAGAGCTTGATTTCCAAGGCTTGATCTGTCCTGGCATTGACAGTGGCCATTACTTTGTGTCCTCGTAGCCACCAAGTCCATGCTCCTGCTTCGTCTCCCCGGGCTGCTGAGTCTAAACAAAACCCTTCCCGGAGGCAGTTCTGCGGCACAACTTGCTGTCACACCAATCTTTTGGGCTGGTAACTATTTACCATCCCTTAAACCAAAGAGAGAGTTCATCTGGTCCCAGGAATTTACTTCAGGAAAAGCTGAAAGTGTTTCTCTGAGGACCTGGCCTAATGGAAAACAGTTTTTCACTGGGAGAATTTGCTGAGCACTAGTACTTGTGCACAGTAAGTTAGAATCGAGCTCAACCCTCCGTTGGTTGACCTGGCCTAATGGAAAACAGTTTTTCACTGGGAGAATTTGCTGAGCACTAGTGCTTGTGCACAGTAAGTTAGAAATCGAGCTCAACCCTCTGTTGGGTGTTGTGTGTTTTGTTTTACCAGTGCACAAGTGTTCATTTAAGGTTTCCATAAAATACTAGGGCCCTGTTTAAATAAGCTTTTGTACGAGTTCAGTCAAGCAGTGAACCAGAGAGAACATTTGTTAATGTTAGTGTATTCCTAAATTAACTGGGGATCCCCACAGAGGTACCAGCAAGTGATTTTTGCCTGTCAAAGGTACCGCGTCTCTGAGAACTCACCAGCCTCAAACGCTGTGTGTTTTGGGGCACTGAGTCCTTATTTCACTCAGAGGCAGCAGTTTTTAACTGGGGATTCGTGGAGTAATTATGAGTTACCCGTGTGAAATGAAACTAAGAAAAGCAAATATATTATTAGCTAAAATACTGCTTTATGGAGCAAAGGTGTGCTGCTCTTGTGTTGGGAACCGTATTAAGGGTCCACCTGCCTCCACTCTTCCCCCCCCAGAAAGAAAACTTGAAAATTTCTTTCATAATGCAGTAAAATTAACAGTTTTAAGTGAATGCTTATAGCAGGAAAAGACAAGTTTTAATGAAACCAAGCTCCTTGAATACAGGATAAATAATGTGTTTCGTTAAAAGACAGGGGGGAAAAAAAGAAACTAAAAAGAAACCCCAAACAACCAAAAAGCCCTGAAAGGGTTTAACAATCTGAAGTGGTTTTTCTGTGCCAACCCCAGAGCAATGTGTAATCAGTGAAAGTAAGCTAGCGGCGGGTTCACTTTCAGGCTCTCCTGCACTACTACGAGGATGCACTGTTCAGGTTGCAGGCACTTAGGGGTATATCTTCTCATGAAAGCCCTCGTTCCATAATTTATTTAAATCTAATCGAGAGCACTTCTGTCGATCTTTTTTGCAAACCTGGAACTTGACTCCACGTTGTCCAGACACGTGGCCTGACTTTGGGCCTGCACTTCACTGTGGCTTTGCACCGAAGGGATGTGAGGACGTGACACTACTGCTCTGGTTTAGGGAGCTTTTTGACGCCGCTTGGCCGCGGTGTGAGTGGCTGCGAATGCTGCAGAGGGAATGGGGAACCATTCCTGGCGTCTTGGTGAGAGGAGTAGGGTGGTCAGCACTCCTGTGGGGCTCTTCAAGCCTTGCAACTAGCACCTAAAATATACCAAAGATTGGAAGCTTTTTGCTCCTCACGCTTTGCCCTGCAGACGTGCAGCAGCAACCGAGAGCGCGGTGATCCTGTCTGCGGAGGTTTCTCTCTACCCTTGGCTTGTCCTCACCCAACCGAGACCTTCTTTTCCTTTGCTAATCCCGCACGTCGTGTTTTTGGGAGAGAACAGGGCATGAGGAAACAGTGGAACTTTCCATGTTTCAAAGCAACTAAATCCTCAGGATCCGTTGTGGCTTTTTACCTCATAACGTGTCACGGAAGGCTGTTCCGGAGCAGAGCAAAGAGCATCGTGGGCTGATGGGCTCCGTCCTCTCCCCGCCAGAGCTTCTGGTCCTTCCCACCACCTACGCTGAAATGTGCCTACTCTGTGTATACACACTTGTATTCCAGTCCGTAGTAATGAAAAGTAATTAGCGATTGTAGAGTGACAGAGAACACGGGGTGCCAGCTTGGACTTCTCGTATCCCAGTACCTGACCCAATGCCACCCGTTCGGCACAGGAACAAGCCAAAGCATTACTTGTATGTTTGGAGATGCACTTTTATGAATGTAGTTTATATCGCTCTTTTTTAGCTCTTTTTACATCATGTAAACAGTGATGCCTCATACATTTTTTTTTTTTGTTTTAATTTATATCGTAAAAAGATCATATTTGGTGATTTTTATATATATCGACTCGACTGTTACGGGGTAGGGGGGAGGATGGGAATAAATTTGACGCCTTTATGAATTTACAAAGGAAAAAAAAAAAAAAAGCAGCTGGTTTTGCAGAGAATTTGCTGATGGTTTATAACAAGTAGAGCCGAGCCAAAATGCCTTCTTTGTTTCCTCACAGCCCTCTTGATCGTGGAAAAGGAAGATCTGGGTTCCTAAGACATGGGGAATGACTTAGGAGTGGGGGAATTGGGGAGTGTTGGGGCCAACATTTATACTGCAGTCTCTTAACAACGCCCTGGCAGCAAAAAAAGTTTCAAGTAGACATAAGTGGAATTATATCTCTAAATTGAATTACATCTGGCCTCTTTGTCCTGGCAGAATTTGAAAAAAAACTGGGAATAAATTCATTTAGAGAGAGCGAAGGAAGAGTGCCAGGCTCACAATAAGCTATTGTGTCCCTTCCAAATGTCACTTCATGTTTTCTGCAGTTCCTTCCAGGCAGTGAATATATGGGATCCTTGGTGGAAGATGCTGCAGAAATGGAGAATATTCCATGTGAAGAAAAATATCTTCTAGGAGTCTCATTATCCTGAAACAGTTGGAGCTGTGACCAGGAGAATGTCTGAGATTCCCATCAGAGAGTACCGTGGGGGAATGGGGGATTCGACTGTCCCTGAGCTTGTTAGGAAACAAACTGGTGGCATTTTGGGCTCGGTGTGACGATTCTGTGCATTCCAGGTTATTTGCTTGTTCTCCAGTAAACCTGATCTTTGCCTGTTCTAGTGGCAGTAGGTTGCAGCAATTTGATTATTTTATTTTAGATTTTTTATTCGTATTTTTGGAGTAGTAAGATGCTCCAAATGGTTCCCATTGCCATTAATTACCAAAACAAATTGACTGAGGGGGAAATTGGTACCTGCTCAGGTGCCACGTGTTATTTCCAAGTGCCCAGAGAGCCAGGAGAACTTGTGAAACCTCAGTAAATACGTAGAGCCCTGCTGTAAAGCTCGCTCTGGTGAGCAAAGGCCAGATCCCTGGAGCTGTGCAGGGGGCTGGATGAGATCCCAGTGATTGGTGCTTAGGTCAATAGCTGCTGGATGGAAAGGTTTTATAGATTTCAATACTTAAAAGTCCTGTGGCTGCTGCCTTGGTGCCTGCCCTTGGAGCCGGGAGTATTCAGTCTGTCTTTAATTTTCAGAAGAAAAAAAAAAAAAAAAAGAAAAGGTGTCCTCTGTGGTTTAATGGAGTTTGGGCTTCGGGTCTTTAAACTCCAGCCTTGTTTAGAAGCAAATCTCACTGGGCAGCTCGGAATTTCCCAGTTAGAAAGGGCAGACGTGCCAATGGTGCAGTCCAGAAATGAAGAAAAGGACTTTATTGTCTGACACAAACCGTGCAGAGCAGGGAGAAATTGCTTTAACCTGGATTGTGCAGAAGACCTTGAACCAGTAGTCTATATATACCGACCGGGGGCTTGCAGTGCAAAGCCAGGCCAATGTATCGTTTTATTTACAATAAAATTATCATTTATATGAAAGCCCTTTTTGGTGGTGGTTTGCAGTGCAGTGTCTCTTTCTTCCTATGTAAATGGTGCCTCCAAAATAAGAGAATAAGACAATTAACTAGTTTTCCTTCTAACCAAGGACTTTAACTGAAGGAGGAAATTTTTCCTTTCAGGAATTTATTCTCGGGGACAGCTGGAGAGGTGTCCTGTTGGCGAAGCGTTGGTTCTTGGATGGGGTAAGTGTGTGTCCTCTGCAAGGCAGCCTCCGGAGAAGGTCACGTTCATCCATTTTCACTCTCCAAAGGGAAGAAGCAGAACAGCTCCATCCCTCTCGTTAGCGGGTAAAAATAGCACCATCTTCATTTCACCTCACAGGAGGGTAGCTGGGCTGGCTTATTGGCTCTTCAGGTGGAGATCTTACTGATGGAGAGCAGGAGCTGAGGTTTGCAGTTAGAGTTTGGTGGTGAGTTCTTTACTCCAGGTCTTGGTCTGTAGATGTTCTTAGTTCATCAGCGCTTAACGAGGTAGATGGTCATCAGGTGGGGAGAAGGCACTTGGTAACAGGGCCAGGAGGAGATGGTCAGTGTGATGATGTCTGATTTCTTGCTGTGTTTTGCTTCAGCTGGGAGCTCTGGGGAATACCCTGGAGCAGTGTGTTAAGGGGGTGACTCCAGCTCTCGCTTGTGAAGCTCAAGCTCCTTGAGAATGTATTTACTCTAAATACCTGGAGACTGTTACAGAATCATGGAATGGTTTAGGTTGGAAAGGACCTTAAAGATCCCTACTGGGTCATGATCTTTAGGTCCCCTCCAACTCAAACCATTCTTTGGTTCTACAATCATCTCGTTCCACCCCCCTGCCCTGGGCAGGGACACCTCCCACTAGACTGGACTGCTCGAAGCCCCCCAGTTAAAGGTTCCTGAATTGTTTCTCCTTTGAATGTGTTGTCATTTTAGAAAGCAAAAAAAAAATAGGAGAATTGAGGTCTCTGGACTTCAGACAAATGGGAGATACCATGAGCTCCCTTCCAGAACTGAAGCCTCCCAGCAGGAGTGGAGGAAACTGGGCATTCCTGCGTTGAGCATACCAA